GGCAGGGGCGCGGGGGTTTCGGCAGAAATAACTGCCCCGGACCCTACCGCCAGGGGCTCTGGCGGTAGGGTTAGACAGGCTACCGCCAGGTGCCCTGACGGTAGGGTGCGACGGAGGGGGACGTCGGCCGTTTCCGCGTGCTGACGTGGATAAGTACCCTACCGCCAGGGGCCCTGACGGTAGGCTGTCTAACCCTATAGCCAGAGACTCTGGCGGTAAGAAAAAGGGTCAAATCCCGAAAAAAAATTCAAACCAGAGTCAGATCCTGAAATTGTTTGTTAAAAGAGTCAAAACGCGATTTTTTGCCGAATCGTGTATGATGTGACTTGCTTCGTCTAGATGAACAGCATCATCTGTCGTCTGACCAACATACTTAGAAGTATAGTCACAAGAGCGTCAACTTATATATTTCCATTAATAGAGACAATTAGGATTCTTCCGAAATCAGAAAACCAAAAGGGCCTGGAATTAAGATCACATTATAGTACTAACGCCGAGGGAGGCGACCGTGGCATTTGCCGCATTGCCCCCACCACATCATGCCGCGCTCCGGTGTCGAAGAGGTGCCACAGTAGCAACACTAGCGTCAGCCACGGGAATAGAGTCTCGCCGCTGCCGTCAGCTCTGCCCTGCTGCGACGACCGACGGACACCACCACCCCAACGCCATGTCACTCCGCCGCCTCGTAGCCCGCTCCCTCTCCACGGCCGACCTCTCCGAGCGGAGGGCCCTTGCACCCGCTGGGACCTGGCCGAGGACCACGAAGTCCACCGCTTCGTCTGCAACCCCCTCACCGGCCAGATGCTCCGCCTGCCGGACTTCGCCGGCTCCAGGAGCAACTACGCCCTCCACAACATGGGCCTCCTCACCCAGGCCGACGGAGGGCTCGGGTGCGGGCCGCCCGACAGGTTCGCCGTTGCCGACTTCGTCCTCAATGGCGCCGCCATCTTGCGGTTTCTCTCTGAGGAAGGGAAGTGGAAGGCGGTACGGCCGGTCCATGGCAACCCATCGCTCCCGCGCCCGATGGAGATGAACCAGGAGACGGTTGCCTTCGGCGGCCGCCTGTGGTGGGTCGACCTCACCTTGGGTGCCGTCTCCGTCGACCCCTTCGCCGACCGGCCGGAGATCCGCTTCGTCGAGCTGCCCAGCGGCAGCGTGCTGCCCGCGCCTGCACGTGTGGACGAAGCAGACCCCTGCAAGGTCGAGGAACGGGGGCTGCTCATTATGGAGGTCACCAATCGCCGGCGCATCGGCGTGAGCGAGGGGAGGCTGCGCTACGCCGAGGTGACTCCCGGCGGGCCATTTCTGCTCAGCTCATATGCGCTCGACGACGACGAGGGCACCGGCTGGAAGCTGGAGCACCAGGTGGCACTCAGGCGGGCGTTGGCGGACGGAGGCTACTCGGCACAGGCGGCGCCGCAGATCGCCGTCCTTGACCCCGTCGACGCCAACATCATTTACCTCAAGGTCGGCAAGGACGTCGTCGTGGTGGACATGCATAACGGGAATGTGATTCGGGGCTGTCGGCTTCAAGGAGAGTACATTTCTCTTGTACCATGCGTGCTTCCACCATGGCTTGGATCAAGCCGGATCCCCGCCGAAGGTACCTACCAATCTTCTCTTACGTTTCGGTTTTGCATTTGTTGGTGCATTGCTTCAGATGTTCAGTGCTAGCTTGGGGAGAATTTTATAGTAATGTGGGTGGAAACATACAAATGGATGAATTTTGTGATTCGTAACAATGTTGTGAGCGTGTTGTAGATGGTGGTGACGAATTGACATTGTCGTAAGAATGTAAGATCCAAACATGAATTGGAATCAGAGACTAGGATTGGTGCTATCGATCTAGCTAGACCGACTTGATGTTTGGGTGTGCTGGGAGATGTATGTGTGTACTGTGTTAAGCAGCGGCATTCATACAAAGGAGTGCTCGAATCATATCCGATTAGCTGATCACAATGGTACATTTTTCTGAAGCCTGAAATCATGTGTATTCACACCAGTACTCTGTTCCTAAAACTCATATGGTGTTCAAATCTTGTGTCACAAACAGGTAATGCATCTCTTAATTAGCTAGCAGCGATCTCTTTTCGCGATATGTTGCAGTTGAGGATGGCGTCTAAACACACATACATCATCCCCTTTGGTTTCTGTGAACTTTGAATTAACACATGTACATGTTCTACATGTTATTTTCCACATCTCTATATGTCGTTTTCAGTTAATGGCTGTTGTACTCTTGTTCATCCAACTGATCACCCAACTGATCACCCAACTTTTGGCTTGAAAAGAAATTTTGTTCCTCTGATCAGTGTCAAGCTATATGAGCAATGAGCTGTGCTGAATTCTTGATAGCCTGTTCTATGTATCAGTCCTGTCCGCTGGCACATTTCTTATAAGCAAGCGTAGTTTATACTGTACGCACAAAATTGTTCCGAGTTAACATAGATTGTATCTGTTATTCAACTTCCTGTACCTTGACAGACAAAACTTTTTTCAGGCAAGAAGGATGGCATGGAAGTGACAGATGATCTGGTCAGTAGCGCCTAGAAGTCGTGAATGGGCATTAGTCTACCAGCTTATTTATCTCTAGTTGGGAACTATCTTAGTCTCTTAACTAATGCTTCCATTATTAGTCATCCATTGGCATTGTCAGTACTCAAGACGCATCGTGCTTTCTTGTCCTAATGGTGACCGCTCTTTTCTTTTTCTTAAAATTTTACCAACAACTGTTAAGAAGTCTAAAACTGAAGCTTATTACTTTCAAACAACTTATAATGACGTAATTTGGTGCTATAAGTAAACATGTTGTCCAAATGTTATTTGGTGTTTATTCCGGTATCCATTTTCTTTTCCATGTTGAGTCAAACATCTCTAACATGTTTTCTCTATTTTTCAGGTTTCCTGGAACTAATAGATGGAGGGGTTGCACTATATTAGGATAGAAGCGAGCGGTAGTTTGTCGAACTCTCATTTTGGGTGAAAGCTGGGATATTTTGGATTTATTGTAGTTTCTTGATGAGTTACCATCTCGTTTAGAGGGAAATCTAGCAGTTGGTTCAACAGTCCATTAGGATATTGCAGTAGAACTAAATTAAATCAACATCTGACGACTGTCACAAAACCGTATGCATGAAGTTACTTGTAAGATAATATGCTCATCTTTTCTTTTCAAATTCTGAAAAAGAAAAATACAAGCTCATCTTTTTGTAGGAAAACATGGATGCATGTATGATTTTAAATGATTGTAGACTTGTAATCTTGGTGACATCTGTTATGAATTGATGAATGTTTCAACGGTTCAGGATTTCTCATGACAAATGCATGTTTTTCACCGCCTTTATTGCTTGAGAACAACATAGACCACCAGCACAACAAAGTTCTGTGCCATAATATGTTTACAAAAAATTCAAAATATATGTACAAAGTAATCAGAATCGTGCATCAACGCACAACAATCCTTTTATGGCTTCTGTAGACTTGGTATAGTGTGAAAAATTAAATTCATTTTGATATTTGAATTTATCATGGCCAGCTCTTCAAAATAAGTCCAATGAGCAATATATTTCAAATTGTGGAGCAAAGATAGGACTGAGCATGTTGGTCAAGTGAAACCTCATTAATTAAATTACATTCACTGGAAGGTTCTTTGCTTTTCGTTAACAAAGAGATGATTTTTTTTTTATGTTTTGAGACAGATGGTCATCATGTAGGAACATATTATGTACCAACTAAAAAGGGTTGAGTTCTTTTGTACAACTTTACCACATTGTCACAAGTCATAGACATACTCACGAGTGCACGCGCTATATACATGCCCAGGGCAGGCCCAAGGCAACACTAGCGATGGCATGGGGCATGACCGCATGAGAGCTAGACACACCGTTCACCGTAGCTATTCTAGCTGCCGTTGTGCATTGTTTATCACTGTAGCATGAAGTTGGCCTAGGCCATTGCTTTATCCTGGCTACGCAACTGAACATGTGAGTGTGCGTGCGTGCTTAAATCACAAGTCTTCATGTATTCTACTTCCTTTATTCTATAATGCAGTGCGTATGGATTTTTACGGAAGTTAATTTTTTTATAAACTTTGACCAAATTTATAAGGAAGAGTATCTACATACTCCCTCCGTCCACGAATAAGTGTACATCTAGGTTTTGTCCTAAGTCAAAGTTTTAAGACTTTGACCAATTTTATACAAAAAAAGTAGCAACATTTATGGCACTAAATTAGTATTAGTTGATCCGCTTTGAAATGTACTTTCATGATATACCAATTTGATGTCATATATGTTACTACTTTTTTCTACATAGTTGGTCAAAGTTTTAATGATTTGACTTAGAACAAAAGCTAAATGTACACTTATTCGCGGACGAAGGGAGTAGTTATTATCAAATTTTTGTATTATATTATTGTATTATTATTGTTGTTGATGTTTTCCTCGATAAACTTGGTCAAACATTATGATGATTGAGTTAATGAAAAAACTATATGCACTACATTATAAAATGTAGGGAGTAGTATTTAGGAAACAATGAGAAGTCTCCCTTATATATTGATCACCCCTCCCGAACCTGGCCGAATCCTTTTCCGGTTTAAATTTTCATGCAAACGACAGTATATTTATTAAAGTTCAAATAACATTATAGTACTGAAATTTAGAAAGATAATATTACAAGCCACAACCAGTGAAAGTAGGGAAATATGTCTACACACATAACATAATATTGGACCGTCATCCAAACCGGTTGTATGTATCTTGTGCTACCATCTCATCGGTTGCGCTCAGAGACCATAAACTCCCGTACTTCCACATCTTGCGGTAAGGACCACATATGGATCCATCATGTGCTCTCAAGATACCAACAAAAATTTGCGTACCTTTACTCTTGGTTTTTTCTCTGATAAAGAGCACATTTATTATCTCAAATGTAGCATCAAGCATATACATATCATGATGAGCAACACCCGACCTCTGCATAACAAGGATGCACACAACCAAATATCTAAAGTCTGACAAAAAAGAGTAAATAAAATCGACATACTGGCAACAATAGAGTCCAATAAGACCGACACGATGCCTATGTCGAAGGAGATGGTAGACTGATCCAGAGAGTATGCAGCCACCCATGTTGGATAAAAACCTTCCTGGTCACCTAATCCAATGGCATACATGTTGGGGAACGTAGCATGCAATTTCAAAAATTTCCTACGATCACGCAAGATCTATCTAGGAGATGCATAACAACGAGAAGGGGAGAGTGTGTCCACATACCCTCATAGACCGAAAGCGGAAGCGTTAGTATAACGCGATTGATGTAGTCGAACATCTTTACGATTCAACCGATCAAGTACCGAACATACGGCACCTCCGAGTTCTACACACGTTTAGCTCGATGACGTCCCTCGAACTCTTGATCCAGTAAAGTGTCGAGGGAGAGTTCCGCCAGCACGACGGCGTGGTGACGATGATGGTGAAGTGATCTACGCAGGGCTTCGCCTAAGCACTACGTGAATATGACCGGAGGCGTAGACTGTGAAGGGGAGCGTCGGACCCGGCTAACAATGTTTGTTGTGTGTTCTAGGCGCCCCTTCCCCACATATATATAGGTGGGAGGGGGAGGGGGACAGCCATGGGTCGCCCCAAGTAGGAGCAATCCTACTTGGGGGGCTCCTCCAATTTGGCCTCCCCCTTTCCTTATCTCCGGAGGGGGGAAGGAAAGAGGGGAGAGGGGAAAGGAAGGGGGAATCCTATTCCCTCTATTTCCTTTCCTCCTCCCCTTTTCCTTTCTCCACTTAGGCTGGCCCATATGGGGGCGCACCAGCCCCTTAGGGGCTGGTCTGTCCCGCCCTTGGCCCAATAAGGCCCATATCTTTGACGGGGGTGGGGGGGGGGGGTGCCCGGAACCCCTTCCGGTGACCCGATACGTACCCGGTACCCCCAGAACACTTCCGGTGTCCGAATACTATCATCATATATATGAATCTTTACCTCTTGGTCATTTCAAGACTCCTTTTCATGTCCATGATCTCATCTGGGATTCCGAACAACATTCGGTCATCAAATCACATAACTCATATAATACAAAATCTTCATCAAAACGTTAAGCATGCGGACCCTGCGGGTTCGAGAACTATGTAGACATGATCGAGACACATCTCTGATCAGTAACCAGCAGTGGAACCTGGATGCTCATATTGGTTCCTACATATTCTACAAAGATCTTTATCGGTTAAACCGCAAAGACAACATACGTTATTCCCTTTGTCATCGGTATGTTACTTGCCCAAGATTCCATCGTTGGTATCTTCATACCTCGTTCAATCTCGTTACTGGCAAGTCTCTTTACTCGTTCCTAATGCATCATCCCGCAACTAACTCATTAGTCACATTGCTTGCAAGGCTTATCATGATGTGCATTACTGAGAGGGCCCAAAGATACCTCTCCGGTACTCGGAGTGACAAATCCTAATCTCGATCTATGCCAACCGAACAAACACCTTCGGAGATACCTGTAGAGCATCTTTATAATCACCCAGTTACGTTGTGACATTTGATAGCACACAAGGTATTCCTCCGGTATCCGGGAGTTGCATAATCTCATAGTCAAAGGAATATGTATATGACATGAAGAAAGCTTATAACAATAAAACTGAACGATCATTATGCTAAGCTAACACACGGGTCTTGTCCATCACATCATTCTCCTAATGATATGATCCCGTTCATCAAATGACAACACATGTCTATGGTTAGGAAACTTAACCATCTTTGATTAGCGAGCTAGTCTAGTAGAGGCTTACTAGGGACACGGTGTTTTGTCTATGTATCCACACATGTATCAAGTTTCCGGTTAATACAATTCTAGCATGAGTAATAAACATTTATCATGATATAAGTAAATCTAAAATAACAACTTTATTTTTGCCTCTAGGGCATATTTCCTTCAGTCTCCCACTTGCACTAGAGTCAATAATCTAGTTCACATCGCCATGTGATTTAACACCAATAGTTCACATCACCATGTGATTAACACCCATAGTTCACATCGCCATGTGACCAACACCCAAAGGGTTTACTAGAGTCAGTAAGCTAGGTCACATCGTCATGTGATTAACACCAAAAGTGTACTAAGGTGTGATCATGTTTTGCTTGTGAGAGAGGTTTAGTCAATGGGTCTGCCACATTTAGATCCGTATGTATTTTGCAAATTTCTATGTCTACAATGCTCTGCATGGAGCTACTCTAGCTAATTGCTCCCACTTTTAATATGTATCCAGATTGGGACTCGGAGTCATGCAGATCAGTGTTAAAGCTTGTATCGACGTAACTCTTCACGATGAACTCTTTATCACCTCCATAATCGAGAAATATTTCCTTAGTCCTCTAAGGATAATTTTGACCGCTATCCAGTGATCTACTCCAAGATCACTATTGTACCCCTTTGCCAAACTCATGGCAAGGTACAGAATATGTCTGGTATACAGCATGACATACTTTATCGAACCTATGGCTGAGGCATAGGGAATGACTTTCATTCTCTCTCTA